CTTGAAGGAGTGTACTCATGCATGTGGGGTGCATGCTTTCATGCTGTTTCTGCCAAATTCTCACTCTTCCCTCTGCATGATGCAACTGGAAACGTGATTCATTGGACCACATGACTTTTTCCAGTGTTCGACTGTCCAATCCTTGTGTTCCTGTGAGAATTGGAGATGTTTTATCTTGGTAACTGCAGTCAGCAAAGGTGTTAGAATAGGCCTTCTGCTTCCATATCCCATACAATGCAGTGTATGGCTAATTTGCCTACAAACATCAGGTGGTCACAATAATCTGGCCACTCAGTGTAAAAAATCCATTGTATTTTTATACATGAGCAATGACAAATCAAAAAATTAAATTAAGAAAATTTTAGTTACAATAATATCAAAAAGTATAAAACATTAGGAGTACATTTAACAAAAGAAGGTCAAGACTTGTACGTTGGAAACTATAAGCATCACTGAAAGAAATTAAAGACCCAAATAAACAGAAACATCCCCATATTCAGGGACCAGAAGACTTAGTATCATTACGATGGCAATACTCCCCAAACTGATTGTAAGATTTAAAACAATTCCTCTCAAAATCCCAGGTGCTTTTCTTGCAGAAATTGATGAACTGATCTTAAAATTCATATGGCAATACAAGGAACCCAGAAGAGCCGCATGACCTTGAAAAAAGAACAAAGGACTCACACTTCTTGACTTCACAACTTACTACAACACTGCAGTAGCTGTGATAGTGTGGGACTGGCACAAAGACAGGCATATATAGATTAAAAGAATAGAACGTAGAGCACAGAAATAAACCTCACATTTATAGTCAACTGATTATCAACAAGGGTGTCAAGACAATTAAAAGGAGGAAGAATAGTCTTAACAAATGGCATTGGGACAACTGGATACACCCACAGGTAAAAAATTAAGTTAGGCTTCTAGCTCAAATCATATACAAAAATTAACTCAAAATGGATCAAAGAGCTAAATCATAAAACTGTTAGAAGAAAATAAGTGTAAATCTTCGTGACTATAATACCAAAAGCACAAACAACAAGAGAAAAAATAGATAAACTTAACTTTATTAAAATTTAAAAATGTTGTGTTTCAAAGGACATCATTAAGGAAGTGAAATTAAGGAAGCCTGCAGAATGAGAAAATAGTTGCAAAATACACATTTGATAAAGGACTTTATCCAGAATATAAAAAAAACTCTTATAATTCAAAAGGACAAATAATTCAGTTTTAAAATGAGCAAAGAATTTGAAGATATTTCTCCAAAGAATATACGTAAATGGCTAAAAAGCACATGTAAAGATGTTCCACATCACTACTTACTAGAGAAATGTAAATCAAAACAACCACAAAACTTCTTCATACTCACTAGGATGGCTAAGAAAAAAAAAAAAAATAGTACCAAATGCTGGTGAAGCTATGAAAAATTGGAAAACTCATTTATTGTTAGTGAAATTGTAAAAAGGGACAAACCATTTTGGAAAATGGTTTGGCAGTTCCTCAAAAAATGAAACTGTTACCAAATGATCCACAAATTCCACTCCTAGGTATATAGCCATGAAAAATAAAAACTTATGTGCTCACAAAAATGTGTAAATAGTCATAGTAGCATTATTCATTAGAGACAAAAGGTGGATACCTAAATGTTCATTAACAGCTGGACGAACAAAATGTGATATGCCGATACAATTAAATGTTCTTTGGCAATAAAAAGGATGAACCTTGAAAACATTACGCCAATCACAAAAGGCCACAAATTGAATGATTCGTATACATGAAATGTCCAGAACAGGCAATCTATTGGTATAGATGGAAAGTGGGTTCGCAGCCGGTGAGTGGGGAGAGGAGCACGGAGAGGGGTTACTAATGGGTACAGGCCTTCTTTTGGGGGATGACAATGCTTGGCAAGCTCTAATTATGGTGATGGTTGCCCACCTCTGTGACTATATTTAAAAAAACACTAAACTGAACACTTTAAAAGGGTAAATTTTATGTATGTGAACTATATCTTAAGCTACTTTTAAAAATGAGTTCAAAAGTGCTCAGATAATGTTCATATTTTAATAAATTGAAGTGTAATAAAAATATACATTCCCACAATATTAAAATAATATAAATTCACATTCACATTTGATTCTGTTAGTTGTAAGATATCAGAAGTTAAAATTCCCAAATACAATGTTAGGTACATAAATACTTACAAGTAGTGCTTTAGCAATCAGTTCTCCACCTTTGGGCCCAATATCATTAAACATAAGGTTTAGGTAAATGAGACTGTGTTGTTTCTATAATAAGGAGAGAAAAGAAACGGTTAAACATGTATTATTAAAAATCAATAATGTGTGAGCTGCTTTACTTAAGTAACAGTGTTTATGAAACAGAAAATCTTTATAAACCAGAAAATCTGAAAGTCTAGCAAAAGAAACTACAATTAAGGGGGAAAAAATCACTATTCTTATTTAAACATAAATATAATTGCAACATAGATGAAAGAAAAGGACTATCTTCAGTTTTGACCAATGATTCAAAGTATGAATGTGCTTTGTATATTTAACCGTAGTGTACAAGTTTGTAAAAGATGACTCAGCAGCTCTAGTTACCAGCTCTACTGAAACCAAATGCACAAATGGATTTTCAATATATTTTAAGTGTTGTAAATATATCACCGTCAGGACTTGACATTTTGCAGAACTAGCATTTTGTGGGTGTGCCATTAGACTTAGAGGTTTCGCTAAAGTAGAGCTAAGAATGTCTTGAAGATTTTGTTGCATTTTTATTTGTGATTGCTGAGAATAACATGGTTTCTTCATTTTTTTAATCTTCACCTCTGCACTTACATTGTGCACCATTCCATGGGTATGAGAATTTTAAGATCATTTTAAACTCATTAAAAGTGCTTTTAGAAGAAGAGGTTGGGATAAGTAGTTACAAAATTAAAAAGCCAATATAAGGAAGAAATTAAAAAAAGATATATACAGCTTTAAACAGTTTATTTTCACTGACAATACAGACAAACGTCTCTTTGCTGGTCTTCTGAGGCTAAAACAAGGCCTTTTCTTTAAGTACAACCTCTCTGATTAGTGGACCACACTGTCTTTCTTACATAAAATGCAACCATAATGCAGAATTTCAGTTTAGCTGTCTCCAAAGTGAATCTGCAATAAAGGGTTAATTTAGCATGCTCAAACCCTGCACATTCCAAAGAAAGGAGTGGTTCTTAACTGACCCCTGAAAGAAAAAAAAAGACAAAACATTTTGTAGTAAAATAATACCTGAAGCAGTTTTGCAGCATAGTATAAACCAGCATCACTTATGAGGTTATATCTAACATCCAAACCTGAAGAACACAGAGGAATAGAAGCTGATGTTCCTTATAATGGATTCTTAAAAGCAGGAAAATAAAAGCACGGACAACCTAACTGGTTTGGCTCAGTGGACAGAGAGTTGGCTTGTGGACAGAAGGGTCCCCGGTTCAATTCTGGTCAAGCACATGTCCTCGGTTGCCGGCTCGATCCCCAGTAGGGGGAGTACAGGAGGCAGCCAATCAGTGATTCTCCCTTATCACTGATGTTTCTCTGTTTCCTTATCCCTTTCTCTCTTAAATCAATAAAAATATATTTTAAAAAATAAAGCTCTGTCTTGAAAATTTGTTTAAAAATTTTTGTTTTTGTTTAAAAATTTTTAAAAAGCAGGGGCAAAGATTCTTAAGGAGGCCATAATTATATTAATACCAGAGGCCCGGTGCACAAAATTTGTGCATGGGGCGGGGGTGTCCCTCAGCCCAGCTTCCAATCTGGGACCCCTTGGGGGATGTCCAACTGCTGGTTTAGGCCCTGAGGAATTGGGCCTAAACTGGCAGTCAGACATCCCCCTTGCAATCCAGAACCACTAGCTCCTCATCACTCACCTGTCTGCCTGCCTAATGCCCCCAACTGCCCTCCTATGCCAGCCTGATCACTCCTAACCCCCTGCCAGCCTGATCTCACCCTTAACTGCTCTCCCCTGTTGGCCTGATTGCCCCTAACTGCCTCTGCCTTGGCCCCTACCACCATGGCTTTGTCCAGAAGAAAGTCAGATGTCCGGTCCACCCGGTCTAATTAGCATATTACCCTTTTATTAGTATAGGTATGGACCATACCATTAATATATGGATTCGTCTCTAAAGTTTTAGAAAGAATTAAAAAATCTTCATTTGTTAGTCTTTCCACTGGCATTGAGTGATTGTTACCAGCAAGGTTTAATGTGACTCCTCCCGATCTGTTAAAATACAAATAAAGTCAGTAATGAAATAAAAGGATTTTAGTCTTCATGTGTAAATAGTAACTTCATGGATAGCATTTATCAGAACCAAATATGTACAGCAATATAGATTTACATCAAGTCACTTAAAACTACTAAATATTCCACAGATTTTGCTAAGCACATTAACAAATACTATATAACCTAATTTTTCTCTCTCACACACACAAAAGTATCCCCACTTGGTATATAATGACATTGAAGACTCAATGATTTGTATAATGACCAGCAAATAGGAGTTAAGGACAAACCTGGAAACCCAGATTTGGAGATTGCTGGTCTAGTGCTCTTCCTAGTATACTCCACTATCTCCAAGACCACTAACAGTGACAATCAACTACTTCTCTACCTCAAGACCTACTAACAGTGGCAATCAACTACTTCTCTACCTCAAGATCTACTCACAGTGACAATCAACTACTTCTCTACCTCAAGACCTACTCACAGTGACAATCAACTACTTCTCTATCTCAAGACCTACTCACAGTGACAATCAACTACTTCTCTACCTCAAGACCTACTCACAGTGACAATCAACTACTTCTCTATCTCAAGACCTACTCACAGTGACAATCAACTACTTCTCTACCTCAAGACCTACTCACAGTGACAATCAACTACTTCTCTACCTCAAGACCTACTCACAGTGATAATCAACTACGTCTTTACCTCAGGACCTACTAACAGTGATAATCAGCTATGCTGAATCAAAAGACATGTCCATTTCACCAAGCACTTGCAAATGGCTTTGAAATCACTCAGTATTCCAGGATTTTCACACAGATGAATATCACAGATTATTGATATAATCAAGTATTTTTCTTCCTTACCCCTTTTTGATTTCTTCATCCACTCCTTTGAGTTTTTGCAATATAAAATCATTAACTTTCTGTGAATTTTCCATACATAGATAAGTATAACGTTGCCAGAGGCTGTCAATAGGTTCCTGAGCTTTTGAGAAATAAATGCATTATCATTACCCTTCATCACATGTTAATTACCCCCGAGTCCCTCCTTCTCCGCAAATTGCACTTCTTCCAAAGATATGAATGTACAGAGTCAGGTGGGGAAGAAAAGGAGACAGAATTAACAGAAAAAGAGGAAAGAAACCGAAGTTAGGAACCAGAGAGAATAAAAATGCTGTTTGGAGAACAAGGTCCACAGAAGCACCCACTGAGGGTGGGCAGACACTAACTTGGAAGTGACATCGAAGGAGAATTTACCTCCATATGTAACCTGGTAGCTGAGGAAATAATGCCAGAGAAATTATGTACTCTGCCCTTATTAACTCATGCAGTTAATAAGGGCAGAGTACAGAATCAAACTGATTGCAAAGTTTCTTTTCCACCCTGCGACATTGGGTTAAGGCAACCCTAGGTTTCTTATAATGGCTTCATATAAAGACAGTTTTAACCGAGAATCTACATTCAAAAGGGATCTGATTTATCACCGAGTCCCTTAAGCTGCTTCGATACCCTCTCCATACTCCGTGCGAGCTGATGGCATTTTGGAACACAGCTCTATTGCTTCTTCCTAACACTGAGTTGAGGCCACAATCATAGAAAGAAGCTCTTCACGTCCCCTGCCTTGGAGCTCCCACAGAAAGGGGCCCCAGAAGAGCACCCAGTCACCCTCCCAGAGACCGTAAAAGCAAAGCCACAGACCGACAGGAACACCTGCCTTCAGGACAATCTATCGTGCAAAGGGCAGACCGGCCGCAGGACTTGGGGTCCCCTCCCGCCCCCCCTTCCCTACCCCCACCGCGGAGCCTGCTCGGCATAATCGGGGTGCCACCCCGCAGCCCGGGCTCCCACGCTCTTTGCGGGTTTCGGGCGATAAAGGACACCCTATTTCTTATTGCTACCGAGGGCCTGGGCCCGGTCCCAAGTAGGAATAGCGATCTGAGTGGGGGGCGGAGCTGGGTAGGGGTTCCTGGGCCAGGGGGCCTTCTGCGAGCCCGGCTCCATGCTCCTCTCTCGCGGCGGGCTGTAGCGGCGACGTTGTCATGACGACCGCACGCATGCGCCCTGGTCACGGCGTGCTGCGTGGTGCCGGGTTCGGGAGCGCGTGCGGGGAGAAGCCGCAGGACCCCGAGCGCCCGGCTCCGGGGATCCCCCACCATTACTCACGTGGGCCGGGAGGCCTGGCTGCACAGGCAGTGGCTGCCCATGCTGAGCAGGCTCCATGGTCACCATATCGGGGTCCAGATCACGCCCTTCTCCTCCCAGGGGTTAATGTCACACCGAGGCTGGGCTCCCGGCAACTTTGCAGGGACCAGTTTTCCAGGTTTAGGAGGCACTGCTGCTGGGCTGGGCCGGGACTACAAAGATGATTATGACACAGTCGCCTCCCTGAAGTGTGCACACACCTGCGGAGGCCACGTGTAGAAGGAGCTGGTAGCAGCAGCACGGAGAGGGCGCGGAGCTAAGGGAGCATAAAGGGGCATTGCAGATCCATCTTTGAGAGTTGGGGGGAATCAGGGAGGGCTTCCTGGAGGAGGTGATGTCCTGCCTGGTGGAGTGAACCTGCTAGAGGGCGGAACTGCTTGGTGTGTGCTGGAGGAGTGCAGGTACTTGGGGTTGCCTAAAAGAGCACCGAGAGTAAGGGGGCAGGCAGAACGGATCCACGTGGAGTCCTGTGCACCCTCAGAAGCACAGCTGTTGGCGAATGGATTTGACACATCGCAGGAAAAATGAGGTCTGAAGCAGCTGCAGTGACCCAAGAGAAATAATAAGGCCTCAGCTAAGACTGGACTTGGGGGGATGAGGAGAAAGGGACAAAACCCAGAAATAGTTACAGGGTGACATAATCAGAATTTAGTACTTGGACATCCGAGGGAGAAGAGGAAGGAGGGAAGGGGAGGCCTTCTGTTTGGGGTTGCTATGGACTCAGAAGGAAGTCCAAGGCCCTGACCAAGACCCTGGAGCCAGACAGAGACCCTCCAAGTGAAACCAGGCTGTTTATAAGCACAGTTCAAAGGTGAAAAACAAAATACCCGAATCCTCTCTCTCTCATGCTGTCCCACCAGGCAAGTCCAACCAGTGCTCCGCTGCCAAGAAATTGTTGTGCCCGACAAGGCAGGGGTCTCTTGAAACCCTGTTGCCCACAGAATTGAAACATCACCTGAAATATAATTTCTTCAGGTTAACCATGATGATGATAGAAAACCGGCAATTATGTGTTCACTTATCCTATGTGCTACCCACAAAGTTGAAATACCAAAGTGTGAGTGCAGGTACAATCTAGCACCTGCCTTCCCCTATGCCTCAAAGTGTTTTGAGTTAAGAAGATACAGGAATGGAAAGAGGTGGAGGATTAATTAATTGCTGCTCCATTGGGGAGAGAGGGATGTTCTTCCAAGGAAGCAAGAAATGCAGAATCAGATTCTTGTTTTAGAGAGTAACTAATAAACAGGGTCAGAACAGAATAAACAGAAAAGGGCTGTTTTAACCAAACAACTTACAGCACTATTCTCCTTAGCTAGCTGCCTCGGCAAAAGAAAAACAGTATTTACACAAAAATACAGCTTGCAGTGTCAAAATCCATACTAAACAGATGGTCGAAAAGATACTGATCACATATACAACCTAGTTCCATCAGTATATTTCTCATGAGCCCTCATGGAATGATTTCCAGATAAAGGAGGGATGTAGTTGGGTGGGAGGGGGAGATGAAGACCTCCCCTTGAGAAGCACTGAGGGGTAGGGAGGTGGGGGAGATGTTGCTGAGCTAGTTTGAAGGAAACCTAAGTGGATTCATTGGGTACTTCTGCGCTAAGAACCCAGAGTATAGGTCTAACTCGAATCTGAGATTTCTAGAAGGCAGAACCAAAGAGAATATATGAGGGCACTGCCCTTATTAACTCATGCAGTTAATAAGGGCAGAGTACAGAATCAAACTGCTGATTGCAATTCTTTTCCACCCTGCGACATTGGGTTAAGGCAACCCTAGGTTTCTTATAATGGCTTCATATAAAGACAGTTTTAACCGAGAATCTACATTCAAAAGGGATCTGATTTATCACCGAGTCCCTTAAGCTGCTTCGATACCCTCTCCATACTCCGTGCGAGCTGATGGCATTTTGGAACACAGCTCTATTGCTTCTTCCTAACACTGAGTTGAGGCCACAATCATAGAAAGAAGCTCTTCACGTCCCCTGCCTTGGAGCTCCCACAGAAAGGGGCCCCAGAAGAGCACCCAGTCACCCTCCCAGAGACCGTAAAAGCAAAGCCACAGACCGACAGGAACACCTGCCTTCAGGACAATCTATCGTGCAAAGGGCAGACCGGCCGCAGGACTTGGGGTCCCCTCCCGCCCGCGTTTGGTGGTGCCCCAAAGCTCCCGCCATCGCTGGGGCTCCCGGGGCACGCTCCCGCTACGCCGCCCCACCCCCCGC